AAAGCCAGTTTTGACAAAAACAACAATATCACACCAAAAATTAAGAGCATGCACAAATAAAGCCCCAAGTATCAATTTTCGAGAAGGAAGAAACATATAACTCAAGATGCCAATAACTTTGACCACAGTTGAAGTTGTAAATCAAAACGAAGCAGAATGACCTGGAGAAGACAAATGGAATGTCTAGCCAGAAGCTGGGGTACATGCTGGGGTGTGTGTGGAGCAGAGGGGCTGGGTTTTGTGGACTCAGTTTGCTGCTATGTGAAGGGTGAATGGATGAAGCTTTCTGGGACTTGTTCAAAGGTATCCTTTGAAGTTCAGTGATACGCCATCCTTTGAGAGCAAGTTGTGGCACACAGCAAGAAGAGACAGCTATAGTTGGGAAAGAGGGGGACAGAAACAAACAGGAAGGCTGAGAGAGCGTCTCTCCTTGGGATGACTATTGCACCACCAGCAAGGTGCTGGGTTTTGATGTTATGTCCTAATCTAAGAGTCAAAACTTGTGCATGAGGGAAGTCAGTTGACTGGAGCCAGTCTACTCAGGACTTTCACTATGAAGAGTCTAAGACCATGCTTCCGACCATCATAAAAACAGCCTGCATTTTAACAAGGCCTCAAGTCCTTCATGGGCACAATGATTTGAAGCATTGCTGTTTTGTATGCAAATATCAAAGTGTGATATATTGACAAGTGAAAAATCAAACTCATAAAAATCATTGTTTTCTTTTTCAAATATAAGTATGCTACATTCGTCTGACTCGGGAACGATGTCACTTTGTGTTGGTCAACTTAATTCTAAACACAGGGGAATCTGTCTACATAGCTGCTTTCCTATGATTAAAGGAAAATAGGAAATACACTTTGTCTCTAAATCAGCTGAGGGTTTGGAATTGAAAGATTAACATGCCAGTTGGTCAGATTGCTTATTTTCTCTTTTCTACCTGATGCCAAACAGCCACATGAAAAAAAAATCAAAATATTGAGTTATTGGCTCTGCCCTGCATAAACAATGTGTATTTGGCTAAATTATTTAACTTTTGCTTACTTGTAAGAAATGTAGCTTCACACTCTAGAGAAAATAATGATCCAGAAAAATTAAAAACATTTCAGCCATTTCAAGGTAAAAAAAATAAATCTAAGTTCCCCAAAAGATCAGATTTTGTCTTTCAGCATTTAACAAAAACTACGAGTGTTTGTCTGTGGTGTGCTTGACTCATCCCTCTGTGATCTGTCCACACTTCCCAATGTGAGCTTATTGTAAATTCAGAATGGCTGAGAGACTTCCTGTTCAGATAGCTCATTTTAATCAGATCCCAATTTTCCCACCCAAGGCTCAGACCACCCATGGCAAATAAACAAAATTACCACAAAGACCAAATTTTGTAATGAAAACAATTTGAACACAAATGTGTGAAAGCAGAAATGTCTGTTAATCTTTTCCTTTTGAATGAAGGTTTGACACCATTATTCAATTCTTAATCTAGTAAGTAATTTGTTTGCATGTGCAAGGTACAGGTCATTGTATCCTCACTGTAGCTTTAAATGTTGGGGGTGCAGAGACATAGAGCTGTTTCTATGTTGTGATTTCTAGACACAAAACCTTTTCCAGGTTGTGGTTTTCTTTTATTAAAGGGTAATACTTATACATCTTTCTTGATTGTTTTATAATATGAATATTACTGATAAATATGACATAAAAGTTAAAGAGCTATGAGATGTAGTGACTCCTACATAAATATAATGTACTGTTATTAAAAATGTGTTTCCTCTGAGACATTTTAATATTCATAACATGTTATGTATCTGGGTTATCTAACAGTATGTAGCTTAGTGTGTCCAATTCTGGCATCAACAACTTTCATTTTCCAATAGATTTCTTTCTGAATGTTAAAGCAGCAGTTAGCCCCCCCCGCCTTCTTTTTTTTTTTTTTCTTTTTCGAGACAGGGATTCTCCGTATTGTTTTAGAGGTTGTCCTAGAAATCGCTCTGTAGACTAGGCTGGCCTCAAACTCGCAGAGATCTGCCTGCCACTGCCTCCTGAGTGCTATGATTAAAGGCATATACCACCAATGCCCACAAACAGCAATTACTCATTTTAGCCCAAATATTTTTATGGGACTCAGACTTTTTGAAAAGTTTATGTGAGCACATTTCAAAAGCACATTCATGCAACTTTGAAAATTTGAGAAAAATACATCATCATTAAATAAATTTATTGGTATTATTTGTATTTTCATTGCCACAAGGAGAAAAGGGAGTAGAGTTCCAAGAGGTTTTGAGTAGGAGAAAAGATGTAATCCTAATTAGGATGCACTAGTTCATCCTAGTTCAGAACACTCGTCTGGAATGAGACAGAGTAATCATGAGATGTGTGGGGGATGCTAATTATCTATGTATAAAGGCCTCTGGAGAAGAAAGATTCGATCTTTCTCCCATATCACTTTTGGTCTCTGGTAGACAGTAAAGCTCTCATTGAGTTATTGCACAATTTAAGGAAGAAACAGTGACTTTGATGTCGAAAGTGTTGTGTTTGTAGGATTGAGACATCCACAGAAAGGATGTTGTGCACTCTACAAAAGATCTACAAATTTGGCATTAAGCCTTGGGTGGGGGCAAATAGAAACCAATCTTCAGCATCAAGTTGTATTTGACAACACTGTGATGATGGCAAGCAGAGCTTTCCCTCTTCGTTGTATTCTTACCCTCAGTCTGCTTTGGTTCAGCATTCACAAGTACAATCTATTCATATACTAAAATCTTTGCAGTAAAAAGTGAAGTGATATAGGTGACTAGGACACACACACACACACCTGTAAAGAAACCAGAGAAAGCACAGTACAAGAAATGAACACAAACAGCCTTGGAGAGGCAGGAAGGAAAGTAGATGACCAAAAGGAGGCACACTTTCAAAAACTGAGAGCAGTGGGCTTCGCAAATAGTTCAGAGAAGTTGACTTATTTGAAAGGCTGAAATTTATAGGTAAGATTTAGTGGCACAGAGGTATTTAATTGTCCTATTTAGAAGAGAAATGCAGGACCCTGAATTTCCCAGGTTGAGATGGACCTTTTGACCTCATTTTGAAAGGTTCCAGGACTTATTTGCCCACTAGCTGATGAGTTTCAGCTTTGGATCCATACCAATGTTTCTGATGCCCAGAATGACACTTTGGAAAAATTTCAAGCTCTTATGACCATAAGCTACAGTGTGAGTCTGTTGTGGGCTCTTATGTAAATATGAGTCCACAGCTGTGTCTTAACTGTGGGCCGTGTTATAATATAACCTGAATCTGAAACTAACGTGCATTGGTAACAATAGTGAATATCCCATTCTTATGCCAAATATTCAAGTATGTTGTATTAGGAATGCAGTAATCCAGGTAAATGATGCTTATGGACCCTTCATGAGATTTCCTGTGTAGTCTATGTAAAAAGATGAGAGTTGTATATGTAAATGAGTTAAGTATCACATAGCACCAATTACCAATTCAGGACCTAGAACTCTTGAACCTCATTTCCTCCCCTATGAAATGTGGGTAATGACAATAGCTGACAGATTCTGGGCAAGCAAATTTCATGTGTTGTTTTTAAGGGTGTGGTTGCTGGTAGGTCGACTGCACTCCAGTGGATGGCCCCACACCAGTGAGTACATTGGACTAGACGGATCATTTAAGGAGAAAAAGAAAAACATAAGAAGATACAAATGGGGTGGTGGTGGTGGAGGTAGCTCTGGGAGGAATTAGGTGGAGGACCAGAGGGTGAATATGATCAAACTATGTTCTAAGAGTTTCCCAAAACATTAATAAAATATATTAAAACAAACAAACAGCTGAGTCAGTTACACTTGTGAGGATGGGATATATCCCTGACATAAAGTACAGTATTCAGAAATAATCATGATTGTTATGGGAGGCATGAAAATGGAGGTATGAACAATGAGTTAAGATCTGAAGACAGCATTGTGAAGTGTGAATCTCACATTGAGAAATGAAAGAGATAAAACAGACTCCATGGGTTATTGTGAAGACAGAATAAATCAAAAGAGGGACTGGCTCTTTAGAGGTACTGTCAGTGAGGGCAGGGTGCTGTTCCAGCAAGATGGTTTTCGTTTGACAGAATTCTGCATTAGTGATATAAGGCAGTCATTATTCGCCAGGATCACCTTCAGTAGTGATCAATTTGATGATGGATCTTTAAGGGACCTTAACCTTTAAGTCTCAACAAACACCTCGGTGTTTCAAGAAATCTGGTGCATAAATATTCCCAGAATAACTGGAAGTTGCAGTCTCCTAGTTTCTTGGACATTTTATGTTACTCTAAAGAAGTCACTCAAGATGGACTTTGAGTGAGAAGAATGCTATTTCCTCGTTAACCCAGTTAATTTGAATCTCTGATTTAATTACTTTGACAGTTTGTCTTTTGATATTTTCCAGTGTTATTTTCCCCCCCTGGTTTTCTCCAAAATGAAATAAAGATTCAAAAACTTAATTCTGTTGCTGGTGTCACTATTGAATAATTTAGTATGTTGACTTAGAACTGTACCAAAGCCTCCTTAATTTTCAAAATAAAATTAGGAAACTTATCATTGGAAGACCTTGATTCTGCTCTCCTCAATAGGACAGATTCTGCAAAGGAATGCAATGATAATTTATTTCTGTCATCTCTGAAGCTGAGGGAAGAGCCACAGCAACAACATTTTTCTTAAAGGCAAATCACACACAAAATTTCAGGTCAAGGGGATGAAAAGGGATAAAAGAATCTTGCAAAAGCTGAGCTTTCCACCCCCTCCCACAGTTCTGTGAGGGGTGACTTCAATGGCTCTTAACTGATTCTGTCCCTGTAAAATCCTACAGTCATTCTTCCACACATAAAGGACAAATAGGCAGAAGAGGAGGACCTTGATGCTTTCAGTTTTAACTCTTCACCAATAGTGGAAAAGGCAGAATGCCTAAGCTATGGCTCTGTGGCCAATAGGATGGCTGTGTGTCTCTCACATGACTGCCTGCCCCTGCCTTTCGCATGGGCTCTAATTTAGTTCAATTCAGAACTGCAGATAGTACGGTTTCCACAGGAGCAGGGATGCCTGAGCACTTATGGCTGAGTTCCGAGGGACTTTAGGAAATGCTTCCCGGCTTCCTGGTCGTGCAAACAGGAGTCTGCACCTGCACTCCAGTCAGTCTGGGGAGAAGTCCCTGCTTTGCCTGCAGGGACAAGGAACTACAGCAAGAAGCAGCAGTGGGAAATTGTAAGTATACATTTCTTTCCGTCAAGGGTGCTGATTAAAATAGTTTTCTGCCAGAAGCATAAGGTATTCGAAGATTTGTCAGGGAATTCTTTTATGTGTACTTTGAAAGGGAGCCAAGGGGCAGGAAAGTATTCCAGGGGCATTTGTTGCATGCTTTCTTGTGTGAAAGATAAAGAATTAAAAAAAAAAGTCAGGCTCTCTGCAGAGTAACTGCAGGAGGCTCTGCGCTGCACTGGGACACTGCTCCAGCATGCTGCTTTGTTCATGAGGAAAAATGAAGGCACACACATATGCACTTAGTTGGTCTGTTCTCTCTTTACGTCTAATCAGGTTTGATTTGTCCCCAGGCAAAATAAAAGACAAACTTTGCTGACTCCACTGACTAGGACACCCCACACTTTCCAGACATCTGACAGTTATTATAATTAGCCATGAAAGACTGCTAAAGACACTTGGAGGCAAATAGCTCTTAAATCTGAACAATGGCTTCAAGCCAGGGCTTTCTTCTGATTCATTTTTGAAGTGTTTTAAATTTTACAATAATGATAGAGACTGAACTGGTTTTTGGGTTTTGTCCACAAAATGTGAACCAAGGACCGAGCCCGACTGACGGCAGCTGAGAGTGGCTGGTGCAGAGAAGCCAAAGACAGCTTTCTGTCTTAGGAGCCAGGCCTCCATAGAAAGATTTTTTTAAATTCCTAATAGGGTGGGGTGAGTATGTGGGGGTGGGGAGGAAGCATGCTGAAGCTTCTTCATAGAAGAATCCTCAAAGAATAAAATATTTTAGGATGTCTTCCTGCCGGAGGGGGCAAAGCTATAGCTTACATCTTAGTTGTATTTGTGGTAAGATTTTTTTTTCTGGATGGAGTTTTAAACAGAAGTGACATTCAAAGCAGTTTTTTTTCTTAAATTTATACAGTAATTGGAAACAAATGGTAGAAAATGTTCCTGTGACTGCTTTCTTTTCATATTCAGCTAGAGTAATCTAGCAATGCATCGTGTCTTTCCTTCTAGAATCACCAAATCCTTAAAAAGTTCTAAGTTTAGTCTCGTAAGAAATGAAACTGCAAATCAAAACCGTGTGATTATGACTGATGAGGACTTTGGACAACAAAGACTCTGCCCAAAAGAGAGTTTATAACAACACACTGCCCTCCCCATTTTTAAAAGAGAATATTAACTCCATCAATTATTGAAAGGAATTATTTAAAGGCTCCAGACATAACTAATTATGGCTTAGCGAGGTACCAGGGCTGAGCCGGTGCTGTAATTACAAAAGTCCAAGACATTAGGAATCATTTTTTTTAAAGGAGGCTGGAGCACGAATTTTCACATAATCTTTTAAAAATACACCCGTTCTTCTTTGTCTGCTCTCATGTTATCTACACCTCCCCCACCGCCGCCCACTGTGTGCTGAGACACCTGAAGGCTAGACATAATGATCAACAGAGCTCCAGCCTGTCTGGACTCCAGCCAGTTTTTTTTCTCCCCCCCCCCCCCCTTCTACAATCAAGGAGCTTGCACGCAATGCATGCCGAGCCTATTCCACTGCTATGTGCAGATCCGGGATGGAAGTCGTACACATACTGCGGAAAGATTAAAGACAACAATATCCCCTTTCTCCTGCCCTAGACAGACTCAATTTTTAACCCTTTCGTTACCTTTAAAACCAAGATGTCTCAGGCACTCAAAAGCAGGTCTCCAGGGACTCTGCAACTCCAGCACCAATTCACATGGAAGCACACACCTCATTTGATGTGGAAACACCATCTCCACAGATCCTGGCAGAATATTTGAGGATTCAGTGTGTTAACTAAACGAAACAGAATTCGCTTGTGCGGGGAAAGCATTTTTGAACAAACTTAAGCTCTATAAGATCTCGGTGGGAGGGGGAGGGAGGCAATCGTTGGAGGTCTGTGGGTAGGTTCTTGCAAGCTTTGCAGAGGGCTGCAGAGGGTTTCTGAGGGTGCTGTACTGGAAGCATCCTTCTGTTTGCCTCGGTGTCTTCCTCTCATTCTCTCTCACACACTTAAGACGTACACACCAGGCAGACAAATACATTACTCTATCACAGCAAGCCCAGGTTAGCTGGTGATGTCATCACAGATAAAATTTCGCCTTTGTGGGCAACATTTTCGATCACCTAGACGCTAGAGTCTGCTGGGTGTGTGCCCATAGGAAGTTCAAGTGTTTGTGGGGTTAACCTACACCCACAGGGAATCAGTCTTTTATTCGGAGCCATCTCTCTGTTTTGAAGATGTATTTACGGGGCAGTATGGGTGTGCTTACCATGATGTATGTAGTTAAGCAGAGTTCTCTGTTCTAGGATGCCGTATTAATATGCTGATTGAACATGTCAGAGGTGGCTGAATTTCAATATGAATAGGTGTAGAAATAAAAGGCGATTTTAAATCATTTGGCTCGAAATTTTACAACAGCAACAATCATTATCAATCAGCATCCATCATTTGGTATTAATTTTGGTGACTTTTAAATGATTTTTTTTCTATTACAATTCCTCAAGGAAAGGTTAATTTGTACCAATGATTTTGAAGTGATGCTCTTTTCCCGTGCCTTTGTGAGTAGGACCCTGCATTAGATGAAACTTGTATGCAGTTTGTGCAGGAGTTCACTCTGTTTTTCCTTTCTACTTTGTGGGTCTTGCCCTAAAGAGTCACTCACCAAACAAGTACTCATATATTTATTAATGTACATGCAATATTATGTTATTTTTCTTGTATCAAATGGGAGGGAGATAATTACTTTTACCACACTATATGACTGGATTTGAGATACAAATGGAGAAAAAAATCCAAATATATGCTACACCTTAGCTGTCAAGTTTTGATATGTAACTTATGAATAATATAGAATGATGGGGTATTCACCAGCTCAGACATGCCTGACATTGAACATACAATTTTGTAAGATCTGAAATTCATTCTCCGTACTTCTAATTTAGAAAGGGATTTTCAAAGCATACATATGCGAAGAGTTCCACTAACGTATTAGCAGATTTATTTGCCAATACATTAAATGATTGTTTAAAAGCAAAAGAATAAAGAATGTCTGCTTCACTTGGTTATTGTTCAGAAAAGTTTATAGTTGAAGAACTGATAAATTTTGTTCTTAGAAAAAACAATCTAGACATGTTGAGTGATATTTCTGTGGTGTAACACTCCACTGTAAACCAATAAATAGCTTTCTTTGGAGGCATGACTTTCTAGTTTTATGTAAACAATCCCTTCCAACACATACTAGACTTCTGGCCTGATGAAAACTAATTTAATTTCTTTATCAAAGAGACAAAGTGAATAAATAGTTTTATTTAGAGTCCACCTACTTTCTGAAAGCCAGGCCTGCCATTGCCCTCTGGGGATCCAGGTTACTAGAAAGGCATCTTTCAAAGACAAGAAGATAATGGACTTGATTGAAATAGTTGGACTACGTAAGACCAATTCAAGAACAAATGGTTTTTCAGAGCATAGTGAAGAACAATTTCCTATAGTTTATTCTCATTGCACAATGGTAATGATTTATTGGAAATGGCAGGACAAACAGTAGATAGATATACCCAAACAAAAAACAACCAGAGGTATTTTATGTCAGGGATGCATCAAGATTCTGGGTGTATAGAGATTATTCTCCCTACAAGTTTCTTGTTGTAGATTTTGCTGGCTATGTTCCTTAGGGTTATCTGAGACTGGGAGAGTGTACACATTATATTTAACATATACATGTAAATACAGTCTTGTGATCACAATTTGTGTTTGTTATTATATTAAATGAGTGTTTGAAATGTTGTAAACTGTGATACATTTTAATACAATGAAATTTGGGTAACAACATCAACTGTTTCTGATTCTTCTAAGTGAGAATCATGCTCAGGTATTGAACAAATGAGTTTATTGATGAAATACTTATTATGTGTACTTCACAGAAAAAAAATCAACCCTAAACTCCAGTACTAACTGAATGAACAGAACAAAAATTACCACAAAATCAAACAGTTTTTGAGCACTTGGATCATTCCTAAAAGTAGACTCAGCTGTCATAATCTCTCTTCAGGAAGAGAGAGCATTTTTTTCAGCTTAGCCTGTAGGCTGAAGGCCTGACATTATTGTGCACAGATGCCCAGGCGCTGTTCAGAGAGCACACAGGAAACTCTGGCTGCAACGAGCAAAGAAGGGAAGCTGGTTTGGCGGCTTTATGCTCCAAATTTTATTCCTCCAATCTGGATGCATGCTACACTGAAAATTAATTTGAGTGAAGACTATCAAAGTTATTTTTGTAGCTTACAAAAGGGCCACTGTTTTGTTAGATGCCCCAAGAAGTAAGAGAGTTCGGGAAAGTGATTGACTGACCCTCTGCTTGCAATGCACTCAGGCTCAGTGAGACACTGGGGTCAGACGGGTTCATGAAGCACAGATAGGAAATGAACCAAATGCATATTTGGAGGCTTAAAAAATTTAGAACCATTTTTTAAAATCATAGATGGATTTGGTGTTGTTTTTTGGCACATCTTTTAAAACACCAATCCTTAGTTCAGCTGAAACAACTTCTTATACGTATAGCTGAGGCCAGATGGCCGTATGCTCCTTTCTTATTTAGATGAGATTCTCCCTTTCAATAACATCTTTCTTCCTGACCTGCTTAAAAATTCCAGCGAATGAAATCAGCAGAGGATTTTCAATTCTAATTGACCATGTGCAGAGGAAGGGCCAGGACAGAAATCAGTGGAGGCATTGTGAACCTCAGTTCTGTCTTTGTACTGTTCTCTTGCTAGACAATCTAAACTAACTGCAAATACTTACATTTTTTTAACATTAAAAGAGCTGCAATGTCATTCCTCATTGAGAATTATTTGATTGATCTGACTCTCTCATTTCATCATAAAAAATTCAGAAAGTTATCATATACTTACACAGCTTGGTTTTCTTGGGTTAAAAAGTACATTAAAATATTATCATGATAGTTGAACTGAGATGAAAGAATGGAAT